CCCGCGTCTCCTGCATCGGCAGGCGGACTCTCAAGCACTGCGCCACCAGGGAAGCCCCGGTATTTGTTCTTAAATTGTGTATCTATTCACTTTCTGTCTCTCATAGCCAATGTAATTTTTTAATTTGATGAAATGAAAGAAAGTAGGTTGGGAAAGTTAACATTTGTTGATCACTAACAAGATACTAGGGGCATAGGAGCATAATTAACCCAATAATACTTAAATATTTTAGTCATGGGGGAAATTAGGGCTGTTTCTGAGTCTTATTAGGAAAACATATTTTTCTCTTTAATATGGAGCTGCCCACATTTTGGAATCTCATTTTAGTACACATTTTTATAGTTTCAAGAGAACTCCGTTCTACTAGTATTTGTCTTATTTTCTTGGATTAAGTCTAGTAGTAATTTTTGTTTTAGGAGTGGGCCATGAATATTCCGCTATTTTCCGTTTTGAATACGGTGTGTCATCTTTTGAAAGCCATATCAGTAGTTTGCTTTTTGTCTCTTGTTTTTATTTTCTTTTTAAGTGCAGACCTCAAATTGATTGTTGCCTATAAATAGTAACTTTTATACGTTTGCATATGAGTGACATATCTTTGCCCAGTTATCTTCATTGTATGAAAATAACTGTATTCCATAAAAATTAACAAATAGATTGCAAATGCAAACTATCTTTATAGTTTGGTTGATTTATTAGTGAACATGTACTGATTACCTACTCTATCAGTTGCAATGCTAGGTATGTCTACAGAAAAAATATTTCATTTCTAAACAAATCAAGTCAAGCAAGTTGAAACCTTTCTGAAATTATGAAAACATCCTCTGATAACTTAGGTGTTGTATTTCTTAGTCTCAAAGTCAAGAAACATATATATGTGGACATAGTTATGAGCTCCTTATGGCCCTACTGGGAAACCTATATAGTGCCTTTCAGCTAGAGAAAGTAGTAATGATTAATGGGCCTGTTTGTAGAAAAGAAAAGGAAAAAGTGTACACATTTGCTGTAACATTATATCTCATTCACAGTGGAGACGGTCATTTAAGTCTTTGCCCAAACTGGGGTTTAATGAATATTTTTTTAAGTCTAATTATAAATTTCTGTTTGTATTTTGTGAAAAGGTGTTCAGTAAGAAAACCTTATTTGCAATATTATGTAAATACAAAAGTATGTATTAAAGCTTGCTTATTCTCCTTTCCCAGCCAAGATGTTGATATCCATTTTAAAACAAAATGGGAAAATATCCAATACAATATTCTCCTTCTTTTGGAAGCTCTGTACACGTGAAAGCAGCCTTTGTGTCATTTTATTTGGCCTTTGCTTATCTCTGTTGTATTTCGTTGTGTACTTTTCAGACAAATACTGCTACTCTAGATTTATTATCTTTTATTTGCAAATATGCAAATGAGAGAAATAAAATGGTCATAGTGTTTATCAGAAAAAGGAAGTGTACTTAAGATTATTTTATTTATTAAGATCTGAAAGGCTTCTATATAAATGCACTGAAGTAAATGCTAGTAATTTCTTGTACTCTCATTTTTTTTTGCTTCTCATGGAAATGTTTGTACTTTTTTATCATTGTCTTTTATGAAATATAATGTTCTAAAGACCTGGTGTGATGATGTAATTATTTTCTCTCGGGAACTTTTTTTGGGTTATCTGGGGTTTTGTTGTGTGTGTGTTCCTGAATTCCAGGTGAATTGCTGGTGAATACCTTGGTTGCACTAGGATTACACCATGAGTATAAGGTGATCACATATGCCTTTGCAACAGTGTCTGTTAAATACATTTAGAGATCACCTCATAGCTTGGACCTCAGAGGAGACACCGTGACATTTAAATATTTTTCATCAATGCAATTAGTAATCTACTGTATCAAAATGAATATTTAAGAAGTCATTTTTAGCATAACTTTCTTCTCCCTGCACAACTTCAGTAAACTAAGCTGGTGTGTTGTGGGCAATTCCCTTCTTGTTTTTCAGGTATTAGGAGTCTGACTATCTTTAAGGCAAACAGTCAAATCTCAAAAATACCTCAAGACTAGATTTGCGTTTGGGACTAGATGGTGCGATTATGACTTTTATCAACTTTAATTATTTGTGTGATGAATTCTCAGTATTATTAATCTGTATGCGTAGTACGAGCTACCAGAATATTGTCCACTATATATCACAAATAAAGCCAATCATTAAGTCATAATCATGTAGTCATGCAAAGCCATAAAATGGAGTTCTCTTAGTCTGCCCCAGGGTCCTACCTATGGTATTAATGTATCTTCTGATGAATCATGCCAACTTAATTTAATGATTTTATAATTTTTTTGTTGTCCTTATTTTTTTCTTCCAGTTTTATTGAGATATAATTGACATACAGCACTGTCTGAGTTTAAGGTGTACAGCGTAATGATACAATTAAACACCCATCATTTCATAAAGATGCAAAAGAAAACAAAAGTTTTTCCTTGTGTGGATTTAAGGCTGTGGAGATATCCTGGACCAAAATTGTTTTATTTAGAAAAGGCGTTTATTAAGGAGTACTCTATTGCTATTGATTTAAGTGACTTCAGAAAAGATAGTGCTATATCACTCAAAATTATACTACAATTAAAAGAAAAATATATGGGTTGAAAAATAAAACTTGTATTTTTCTCAGCACATTCCTGCAACATATTTTGGTGGGCCTGAATTCCACTGCTAATTTAATCTTCCCAACTCCATTAGTTGAAGTCTGTGCTCTGGAGGATCTCCAAGAAGCATCAGACATTACCTACCCTCAAGGAGTTTACTGTCCTCTGTGTGTAAAACTGAGAGTGGAGACACCTGAAAACCCACATCCTATCAAATGAGGTGCTCCTTTGTGCCCTCTGCAAACTCAGTTTTATGTTTCACTCATGCAATATTAAAGAGCCCACAGAGCATCTTGAAGGAGGAGCTTTTCTCCACGTGCAGAATATTTCTCATCTGGAAACACTACACTTCAGAAGGATAGTTGAGATCAGTGCTTTTCTGCAACAGACCTTGAGTATTTGCGGTAATCCTTAGAACTGTGTGGAAGGTGGTAGTTATAAGCAAAGGCTCTGGAGTCAGACTGATCTGAGTTTGAATTCACAGATTCCCTATTATTGGCTGTGAAATTATAGCCAATTTGTAGGGGTTGTGGAATGCTCCTATAAATAGGATAACTGTGAATATATTTATTATGATGATGTTGGCGAGTGTTTTGGCAATTAAGTTTATTGTGTGTAGTTCTGGCGTGTAGGGGTTGTGGAATGCTCCTATAAATAGGATAACTGTGAATATATTTATTATGATGATGTTGGCGTACTCTGCTAGAAAAAATAGAGCAAAAGGACCTGCTGCGTATTCTACATTGAAGCCGGATACGAGTTCTGATTCTCCTTCTGTTAGGTCAAAGGGAGCTCGATTAGTTTCTGCTGGGGTGGAGATGAATCATATTATAGCTAGTGGTCATGAGGGGAAGAGCAATCACAGTTGTTCTTGTGTAATTATTAACATGGATAAATGTGAAATTTTAAACCTCTGTGGTGCTCAATTTCTTGGTCTCTCAGTGGAGGACGATAGGAATTACCTGAGGATTGTTCAGATGATTAAAGCAGCTAATTCTAATAGAGCACTT